CTGCAAGCAGCGGCGGGGGAGGCGCGCGTCGGCGTCGGAGGAAGCGGCGGCCCCGATCGGCGCGTAATTACGCCCTCGCAAGATAATTAAAAGTCCGGCGGCGGCGGCAGGAGCGGCGCTCTACTCGACACCTTCGTTAGAGCGCCCCCTGCCGCACCGGACCAGTTAAACACGCCTCATTAGGGTGAAAAACAAGGAGCCTGTCGCGGCCGCCGCTGCCGCCGCCGCCGCTGCTGCAAAGGTGCGCCCGGGCGCTGCGGCGGGGAGATCCAGTTTCGGAGCCGAGCGGGGCTCCGCGCTGCGACGCGGCGCGACGCCGGCGAGCGCGTTCACGCAAATATAAACGCCCCGGACGCGAAGGAAGAAAGGAAGGGGGCGGCGAGAAGAGACACGGTGTTCACTTGCGCCGCTCAGCAACCGTTAGCCGCGTGGGCGGCAACACCGCGATTATGACGGGGAACAATTGTGCTGTGGGTGTGCAGGGACTTAATAGTGTCGACACGATATGGCAGCAGTTTCCTGATTTTTCGTCACTTGCTATGATTAGAGCAGCCTTATTGTTCAAACGCAGTTCAAAAAATTTCAGGAACGAGTTTTAGAATATTTTTTTGATTTCAAGGTGCATAGTTTAGATCAAGAAAACAAAAAAGGATTTCCAAAAAAAAGTACAAAATCTTAAAAATAAAGGAATGCAATATGATGAAAGCATTTACTGATAATTACCCTAAGGTACAAATGTTTCAAAGAGTGAATTTTTAACAAGACAAGCTGACAGATTTCTTTGAAAAGTCCTAATTGCTTAATTTCCTTGTTCGAACCAATCTTCTTTACAACGAAATGACTGCAACCTTATAACAGCGTTAGTTGTCTTCCCCCCCCCAATGTGAGTGTTATATTCATGAATACAAATGAAAGAATAATTTTCATTAAAAAAGTTTTGAATACGAAACAGATTTGTATTTTCTTTATTATAAAACCTTTATATACATTTTTTGGCTGAGGACGCAACGCAACATATAAAATATTGTTGTTGGTATCGATACCAAATAACACAATATCGGAAGAAGCAAGTGCTCGGCCCACGCCATCGCTCTAACTCTGTGGGGAGCGGGGATGGCCCCTGGAGCCCACGACGCCCCACGGTCGTTATGTATGTGAATGTAGTGCGAATAAAAAAAGATAATCAGTTTTTGAAACGCTCTGAACACGTAGTGTAAAAAGAACTTGAAATTAAGAAGGTCAAAGAGAGTAGCAAATAACTTTTAATTTTAGATTTAGTTTACAATCAAGTTACTTTTCGCTAGTATATTTCAGTTGAAGCCCTCGTACAAACTGCAACTGCCCCTCCCAGGAATAAACTCGGGGGCCACTGAAGGGAGATTTCAGCACCTCGCGGGCGTGCGTGGGCGGCGGAGCGCCGTCGCCGGCCAGTGGCTGCGTGCGGCCCCCCGGCTGCCGTGCGCCGCCCGGGGCGAAGGGCCCGGCAAGGCAGCGCCGAGGAGGTGGAAGGCGCCGCGCCCGCCCGCTCGATGGCGGCAACGCGGGGGCGGAGGCATTATTCATGGGCAGCTCGCGTGCAGCGCCGCGCCACCGCCGGCCAAGATAAAAGCCGCTTGTTTGCTTATTCATTCATTAGGCGGCGGCGGCTGCTGGCGGCAGGCAGGGCCGCCCGCGTGCGCCCTGCGCCCTGCTGCGGCTCGATCGGCCACAGCCGCGGCCACGGCCCACTGTCATCCACGGCGCTCCCTACCTCCCCCCCGCACCTGGCCGCCCACGCAACCCTGTAATAATGACCATTGCGTTAATAATGGCCCATCCGCGGCGCCGATTTCTTTCCGGCCGCCTCCCCCAGAGGAAAGGGAAAAGAGAAGCGGCTTCGATATGAAAAGATTCACACAGCCCCTCCAATACGTAAACATTTGTACACCCGCACAGCAGCCTAATACACGGAGGAATATTTTTCCCTCCCGTTATTCCCCTAGTACACGTAAGATGCTACTGCGTTGTTATACCTTAGCGACCTCTATGCTCACCAATCACGTCAGACGTCTAATGCAATTCCTTCTCGTATATATCCCGCAAAAACGTCCATAAAATAGAAATTCCCAACAGCAACATTGTAATTTTCGTTGTGAATATCGATATGAATGACTTGACTTTAACACGACGCATTTTCAGAGCACCTATCTCTAGGAAACGATACGTGGCCGTGATGAGGCGGCCAATGGGGTGGATGGATCGTGACAAAGCATTTGTCATAAGTAAGGATTCGATGGAATAAATGACGGGAGGCGATTCTCGTGTATTCGATGAGGACACCCGTTGTTCGTTTTCCGGCCAGTGTCGCCAACGCCTCCGCCCTGTAGGGCACGGCTCCTCCAACCCCCAGCGCCGTCCGCGCGTGTCGCACACCACGTAACCAGCCAAGAAGTCCCGGAACAGCCGTAATATAGCATCGCCCCGGAACGCGGAGCAGGCATTGCATCATCGTTCTCTCAGAGAGCTCCTCACTCGGAGGCAGCCGGAGGCGCGCTCCACCCCCCTACCCACCCCTGCAGCCCTTCGCGGCACGTCGCTTCCAGGAAGGCTGGAAATAATCGCCTCCGCGCAAAAGAGCGCCGCCGACGCCGACGCCGCCCCGCCGAGGAAAAGGAGCTTGCGACACAGCAGGTAGCGAGCGCGGCGCCCCCCAGCGGCCAGCTGCGCGCGACAGGCGTCCGGCGAGCCGCGCCCACGCCACGGCCTGCCCTGCCCTGCCCTGCCCCGGCCGCCGCCATTGCTACCTGGACCGATTCTTCCTCGCCGGTGTGACCTGGGGCCTCCGGTAGCCTGTCGCCGCGCCATGACGTCAAGTGGGGACGACATACAGGGAGTCCCACCAACTATGGGCCATCCCCGTAACTTCTAAGCGGTTCAGGACATCGATATGCAGTTTTCACTAAACCATGCATACTCATTGGGCACGTAATATGTTGTGGAGATATTGTATGAAATATTTGTATTCTTCTAGAAATGTAATCATCTCCGATTTTTTATATGGAACCATGAAATCAAAGATTAAATTTCTCGAAAAATAAAAAGGTTTAAAACAATATCTCTATAGCATATTGCACAATGATTAAGTTGGTGAGTGGTTAAGTAAAAACCGCATTTCGATATCGTGACCCGCTTAGAAATTATGGGGATGGCGCATAGCTGGTGGGACTCCCTGTATTTCGTCGTTCACAGAGCCAACGATTCGTCTCCGTTTGTCGGCAGAGTGAAATAGTTTTAAAACAGTTATAACGGAGTCATTTCAGATTAAACTACCCCCTCTCAAATGTGCTCTACGAATACAATTCTAAAAACCGAAATATTTTAAAAACACATTCTACATACGGCAAAAGCGTTTCTTGGAACGTAATAAATTACGAGATAACCCAAGGTGGCAGTCTCATTAAAGCTCGGGCGCAGAAAGTCAGCTTTCCGGCACCTCCTGGCCGCGTGGTGTGGCGTGGCGTGGCGTGGCGTGGCCTCGGTGGGGGAGGAGAGAGCAAGCCAGGTAGGAGCGCCGCTCGGGGCGATGCGCCCCGACAGAGCTGCCTAGTGAAAGGCTTATCAGATGGCGCGCGGCGGCGAGACACCGGCGCCGGCACGGCGCTGAGGGGCGAGCGGAGGCGCGCGAGAGGCAGGCGCCGGCGGCCCCGCCACTATTTGCAAAGCGGTCATCGCGATTACGCGCGCCGCCGCCACCCAACCCCCCGCCGTGCGTGACTCACCCCCTCCCTCTCCAGGCTGCACGCGGCTCTCGCTACACTTCTTACGATCAACACTCGGTGACGCCCGTTTCTACCTTTAAATACGGGTCTCAGAACACAAAAAACATCCCTTCCTTAAATCTGTATACATTTGCCTTATTCGAAGAAATTACAAATCAGATGCGACGCGTAAATTAAACATGTCCCCTCTTAGTCTTTTGTTTTTAGAAAGGGAGTTATTACTATCTCATTTTTACATGTAATCCACCATCCCGTCACCTTGTTAGACGCAATTACGCTCCGAGAATACATTCCGCAACCGTAAAGAAATCCGAATTGTGACCACGTTACAGAGTAACAATGCATTTTAATACTTAAATTTGTTCAAAGAATTGGTTGCCCCGACCGAAACTCGAACCTGGGCCTTCTGGCACCATAAGTCCTGGGTTCGAGTCCCGGCCGGGGCAACCAATTCTTTGAACACATTTAATTATCTCATTTTTGTGACTTGTTGGAATAAAGTGAATTTTTATAGATTCAATAAAGTAGTTAGTTTAACTTTTGAACAGTGCATACGCGCATTATAAGTACTTTTGAGAGTTGGAATTATTAATCGTTTAACTCTTTATATGCTTAATATCAAATCTACCTAGAACTTTTATCAATGATAAAGAAGTAGCGAATTTGTTAAAATAGCTGTAATATAATTAATTTTATTAACTCAATATTTTTTTTTAATTTACGTCTAACAGTTATCATTTCTGTCACTAACAGAAATATGAAGAAAATTATTAACACCGTACAAAAGATTTTTTTTTTAATATTTGGACCCCTGATTCCCATTGACGTATCTTTTTTGTTTGTTTGCCCGAATGCATTCGCAAACACAGCTAAATCACCGTCACCAAAGTTCCAATATGAAATCCGGGAATTTCCAAATCTCGCCCCGTCAAGTGAAGGCGCCTGTCTGCAAGTCCCCAGCCGCTCCGCTTGAGCCTCTTATCGCCGCGGATGAGTCGAAGCGGCTAAGCTCCGTCGCCGCGCTAAGAAGAGGCCCCGGGGCGGAGGGGCGCGGCGGGAGGCGACGGAGCGACGGACTACCTGCCGGCGACAGCGCGCGGCCGCGGAATAAGCCGTCACCGCCAGCGGCCCGCACGCAGCGGCCCCGTCACCCCGTCACCGCCCCTCCCGCGCCAGACGCCGCGCTGTTGCCACGACGCCCGGCGGGACGCAAACCTCTCGCTGCTCACGTTAGGGCATTCATCACACCCTGTTTGGACGACTCCAGTCACAACGAGACTCTTTACTCAGGCTACCTTCATTCGTCTAGATAAGAATTACGTGACTTTACTTCGGCATGTCTAGCAATCGCACTACAATACAACGAAATACAAATAATTAAATCATATCTATTAATGTTTACGACACCTCATTTTGAAAATCGTAAGTCAATTAATGAATGCGACAACAAAAAAATTAATTAAACGAGAAGAATTATTAAATTTCAATTCAATATATAAACTGATGCTCAATGCAGTAAAGACAAACATTTACGCAACTGAGGAGTTTTTCGTTTTCAAGCAAACGTTTATTCCGAGTTTCTACGAATGACCGATCAACGCTTTTCAATAAGACTTCAGCAACACATCCTACTTAAGAATTGCATTCTATGTTCCGAACAAGAATTGCATTCTATGTTCCGAACAAGAATTGCATTCTATGTCCAGAACACAGCTGTTGCGAACGCGAATCAGAATGTCAGCGACACTACAGCCCCTCTTGGAGCCAAAGGGCGTGCACGGGAGCACGCGTGATTCTCACCTGGTGCGCGGGCGGCGGCCCCCACGTCGACGAGATTCCGTCCGCGAGCATGGCCGAGGCGGCGCGCGGCGGCGGCGGCGGCGGCGGCGGCGACGGTAACGACGGCACAGCGAGCTCCTGACACGCCGCCTGGCAAACCATCGCCCTTCCCTTCCGCGTCCTGCGAGCGCCGGCCACCGCAAAGACACTGGCGGTGCGGCGACGTCGCCACTCAACCCCGACGGGCCCTCCCCCAACCCCTCGGACACAGGCGGCGGCCGCGCGGCTTGGCGCATTTCGCGCAAGAAAATGGGGCTCTCGCAGACAGACGGTTTAAAAACGTTCATGCGTTCACGAGGAAGGTGGTACATTATTTATTTTTTTCTTTTAATATAAATTAAATGTATCTTATACGTATAGTAATATAGTATAATATAAGTATAGAAATCATTATTCTAAAACTCTGTATCGATTCAATTCAAACCTTTTCCAAAACACAACGGAAAGAAAATACATTTTTAAAAAATATCTACAGCTGTTGACTGAATTTTTAATTTCTCGCCTTACTACGTACTTACATAGAAAAAAGGAAGTACTGGAATGCTGCAGCAGATATCGACAACTTTTGGACAGGAAAACTCGCATAGTGAGCACTAGTGTAGAAAACGTGCATGAAACGTATTCCTAAATGAAGTAGATTACTTCCTCCCACACGTTGTGTACAGAAAGTAATTTACTATTTCACGTTTTTGGGTCCTTGATAGCTACAAAATGATTGCCGGAAAAACGTTTGACTGCGGTCAACACTAGCGTCTAAATTACTCAGCCGATTTTCTCGAAAACTGAAATTCCCTCATCGATCGGAACGAACTTGCACTGCGAGTTTGAAACCGACATTTGGACTTCTTTGTACATGAATGCTCAATATTTCCATATTGACTACATTTTTTTGATTATTTTTCCCTAGAATATGTAGTATATATACGGACGCTTATATATATAAATATATATATATATATATATATATATATATATATATATATGTTTGATTTTCGTTAAAAATATCCAAATTTTTGAAAATTGCTGAAAGTTAATTTTTTTCGACGGCTTTCTACAACTATAATATTAAAGATTGTGGTTTTTCTGTTAGTGAAATCTGTTCTTCAAACGCAGGTAATTAAAAAGGTCCTGTACAAAATTTCGGAAATATGAGTAGTTTTCGCATGAAATATAGGCAATTTTTAAACAATTATTTTCCCCAAAACGACTTGAATTTGTTCTTACAATTTTTCCTCAGACAGAGCAAAGTACGCCCCAGAATGGCGAAGATGGCATTTTTGGCAAACTCTCTGTATTTTAGAAAATTAAAGATAAAATATTAACATTACAAAACTACAATAATGATGATGTAGATTTTTTCCCTAATAGAACTGTGTGCTTTAAAACTAGAGGTTAAATTGCGTAAATAATATATAGGCGTAAAAGAAAATTTCTAAATTTTTCAAATTTGGAAATGCAAATGATCAGCTTTTTTTTAAACTGTCGGGAAGGTTGACTAGTTTAGTTTGGACATTGAGACATCAGAAAAAAGAGTTGGCCGATCGAGCGCGGAAGGAAGGCTGCGCTAAGTGGAGGTCGGGCGCCCCGCCGCAGCCGCAGCCGCAGCGGTCAGCAGCGGGGCGCAGCGCGTACGGCACGCACGAGAGGGGGCTACGCACGCACACGGAAACGCCCCCGCGAGCAGCGGCCCCACTGCCAGCAGCGATTCCGCTGTTTCACAAATACGACGCGCCTTGCAAGACTAACACGCATTGCTCAAAAACAACACTCAGTTTTAAGAAACGCTCAAACGACGTGTTCTCAAAAGCGGATTCAAATTTTTGAAATAAAGTTTCTATGGGACGAAGTTTTACTCTTCTTTGATATTCTTAAAGTCGTGTTTCACTTCTGTCATTAGGGGACCGAAAAATTGGGGATATGTAAAAATATGTACTTTGGGCGGCGATAAATGGCAGGTAGGGAGAGGGTAGGGAAAAGAGGAACCCTAGCCCAGTCCAAAGAAATATTTAAAAAACAAAAAACATTAGTACAAGGAAGTCTGTGCCAATATTACCACCACTAGTTTATTAGGATTTAAGTAGGTTATTTCGGAAATACCCAGAGCAGCTTTTACGAATCCGGCGAACTAACTGACCTGCTATTAATACGTAGTAATGCTTAAGAACCTATGGCGTATCAGTTAACTAGCAATTTCTTTAATTGCAACATCTCTTCATCCAATTGTGACTCAGTGTCAGATATTATCAAGACTTTTTTGTCCTGATTATCGTTTTTCTTTCAGAGAAGTTTCTACTTTGAAAACTCAAAATTAAGAAAATATGCCAATTATTTTTTTAAAAACTTCACTCCGAGAAAAATATAAATTTGGTACTTTCCGACGCACCAACCGGAATGACAACCAGATAATATAAAAAATTAAAGAAAACAAATATTTCTTCAGTACTCTAATTGGATACAGACGTAAATAATTTTAAGAATACGGTCGTGGTGAATCTTTTACGTGACCTTCAGCGTCGTCAGCCATTAGCAACTTTGCAGAAACCGTCCAGATACTATCTTCAGTCCAGCCCATCAGTAGAGCTCAGAAATTTAGCAAAATGCCTGTTTGTTATTGTTACTATTTACGACTTTTAACAATAGAAATCATTTAATTGTACAACTAGTTTCTTTAAGTAGACTTTTATTTTACCTTATTTTCCCCTTCCTGATGCCTATTTTTGACGTTTTGTCATATTTTTACCTTTTTCTTGGTTTTAGGTCATTAATTTGCTTTCTTTTCCTGGCACCGATGTCGATGAAACTTGATATATATCTGCCAGCACTACACAAAATTACGGTCGTGTTACCCCTTTCTGTGGAAGCAGAGGCTGTCTAAAATCTAAATGAAAAAGGAATATGACAGCAGTCAAGACTTTTTATTATTTTGCAATAATTCCTTTTAAATATGGTTTTTCATTGTTTATATGCCTTTTTGCATCCCCACTTTAGCTAGAATAAATGTATTTTCACGCCTAGTATAGTAAAAAGAAATGTCTTTTTCGTCTCAATGTTTTAGGTAAATGCCTGAACTTCCGGGCTCATCATATGGTACCTGGAAGCGCTCTCGTCGCTGCAAAATTCCCTCGGATTTTCCGATCGCTGTCTCCTCGGGGGCGAGGGAACAGCCCTAATTAGCGAGTGGGCGGGGCGGGGCTCAATGGCGCATGGGGCCGGGCGCGCGGGCGAGTGCTCCGCGGGCGGCCACTTGACCCGCCCGCCCGCCAGCGACCCGGCAAATATGCAAACATGTCGATGCGACCGCACATCCACACCGCCAGCCGACGAGTACATGAATTCACATATATAAAAACGATACAATGCCATCTTACACGGCGACTTACTCGAGGGGGGCTCGCACTTGGCGAGCCAGAACGCGGGCAGTGACGGCAGGTGGCGGGGCGGGGGGAGGGGGGGAGGGAAAGGAGAGCAGGGCGTCCGCGACCCTCCATACCAAAGTAATTTCACGGGCTGAATCGAAGTTGGCCCGGAGGTGCGGCCCTTCCGGAGGCGGCGGCGGCAGGTTGCGATGGCTTCGCAGGGGGCGGCACTCGTCGGGGCCGGGCTTTGCGCTGGGCTGGGGACAGCGATAGTAATAATATTTGCCGGCCCCCACGAGGGAGATGATATCGGCCCCGCGGCCCCTTTCGCGGCTTTGTCCCGTCGCGCGCCGCCCGGGGCTCGGCCGCCGCTTCGGCCCTCTCCAAATCCTTGGAACGCGTCGGTCTGTCGCGCATGTTCGCGGGGTCAACGGCTGTGAGCAGAACCTTTGGCTATCGGATTAATCCCATGCGAAAAGACACACAGAAGATAACGCTCATTTCAAATTATACTTTATCATCTGCTTATGTTATGGTAGTGGGCAAACATGCCTCACTAATGAATATGTCCACTCAGTTATGGTTTGCAACTGCTTGTACCTTTCTATCTCTCGTCTCTGTTTAAATATCTGAATACGAAGGATTTTAAACGTAATGCTAAAAGAATTCTATGGCTTGCAAAATTTAAAATCCACCGAACTCCAGGAACATTTTCGGACAACGAACCAATACATTTTTTTTGGTATGTGAGCAACAAATTACGCCCCGGTAATCTACGACTACTAGATATTAAAAATGCATTACATTCCGAAGTTTTCTTAAAAACTCGTCGACCATGTTCTCATTGACAATCAAATATTTTGGGATTAAATATTCTTTCTGTCCATAAACAAACAAACAGCAACCTTTTTAAAAACGCTTCGCATGCCCAAACCCGCAACCATAACGGTCCAGTCCTTGACATGAGAGCGTTTGATCTCTGATAACATCGCGCAGCAGTCGCCTCAGAGAACGTCACTTTTGCACAGACTGAACGTCCCCTCTCGTGACGTTCTTGCCGACAAAGACTTCCGCACGCCAGCGAGCAGCACACCTGGCGAGAGCACGACGGCAATCGGCAGAGCAGCACGTCCGCGAGGCGAAGCCCCGCCCCCACCCACACCCCGCCCTCCCACCTCGGCGCTGATCGGGTTTCCGCTGCGAATGCTTACGCTTCGCGCGGTCCCAACGAATGCTTTAAATTACACGATAAGCGAAATTCGTAGTAATAGCTCGTGACATTATTCAGCTTTTCAATTTTGGCGTATTTAAAATTGCGCTGGATAAGCCCATTTCCATTACACAGGCGCGCTCACACACGGCAATGTCGGCCTGCCCCGCCCCCTTTCCACGGCGCGCGCCCACGCCCCACTCCTGCATCCCGCATGCATCAGCGACTATCGGTCGAGCGCGGCGGTGGCGCGGCGGCGCTTTTTTGGCAAAAAAATCGCGGCGGCGCGCCGGGAGGCGGGGCGGCGCGCTGAGGGGCAGATTAAAAAATTCCCAACATCAACGGCCGGGGCCGCGCGCAGGGCGGGGCGCCGGAGGGCGGAGAGGGCGACTGCGGTGAGCGTTGAACATCCGCGACGCGACGCGGCGCACGCAAACGCCTCCGCCCGCTGCTGTCACCGGCAGAAAATTCGAGCCACGCAGAGCGCTCGCCCCCGCCCCCGGCCTTCCCGGCGCGGCGCCCGCCCCCTGAACCGTCGCAGCGCGGCGGAGCAGCACGGCGAGTGGCCCTAACGAGACCTCGCT